AATGCAAGACACTTCACCACAGTCATGCTGCTGCATCTGAGGAGGCACCACCCCCTTGTCTTTCTTGCCGCTGCTCAGCCTGGCACCAGTGTGAGTGTGCCAAAAGGGAAGACCCCCGCTTGCTCCAAAGCCCCCTTAGCCCCAAAGCAGAGGCAGGCCAGCCTGGACCAGTGAAGGAAAGGTGGACAGAAAGGGGGGTGCATGCCCAAGGCATGCGAGATCACCCAGACCATTGGGGTGATGCTTGCTCTGGATAGCCAGCCCTTCTCCCTAGTTGAGCGGCCAGGGTTCAGGCAGTTTGTAGCACTTTTGGCCCCATTTTACAAAGTGCCCACATGCACGACCTTTAGCAGGGTGGTGGTGCCCTCCCTGTATCAGGCATGCAAGGAGTACTTGAGGGAGGAGCTGTGCAAGGCAGGGCCACAGGTAGCCTTGCACTTCACCTCTGACATCTCGACCAGCCGGGGTGGCGATCACACCTACCTCTCCCTCACGGGGCATTGGTGTGACCATTCAGGCCATTGGTGCACTCTACTGCAAGCCAAGGTGCTGGATGAGTCCCACATGGCAAGGGAGATCATGGGGACCATGAACCGCATGGTGCAGGGGTGGCTTGTTGGGCAGGCCGAGCTCACCCGTGGGTTGGTGGTCATCGACAAGGGGTCCAATACGGTGAAGACTGTGCGTGATGCCAACTTTGCTGGCATCTGCTGTGTAGCACACAGGCTGCACCTAATAGTGAGGGATGCCTTGAAGGGGGACAGGGCTGCCGGTGACAGCATCGCCACCAGTACTGCTAGAAGTCAGCTGATTTCGAAATGCAGGAAGGTGTCAGGCTACTTCCACCGCAGCATCAAGGGGGGCAAGATGCTGCGGGAAAAACCGGCAGAGCTCAGCATCCCGCAGCACAGAATCATACAGGATGTGGAGACTCGGTGGAACTCCACATACCTGATGCTCAAAGGGATGGTGGAGCAACAGAAGGCCATCCATGAGATGGCCTTGTTTGGGGAAACTGGGATCAGCGCCCCCCTGAACAGAGCTGAGTGGGGTACCATCTCCAAGATGTTGGTGGTCCTCAAGCCCTTCCTTGAGGCCACCGAGACCCTTAGCACTGGTGATGCCCTCCTCAGCCAGATGATCTCCCTAGTGAGGGAACTGGAGAACCAAATGGAACAGTTCCAGGGGATTAATGTTGCTGGCTGGGGCAGGCCACTGTCCCCAGATGTGCAGGCACTGGTGAGGCAGCTGAAGGCGGTCATCAGGAGACGGCTGGATCCCTTGTGGTCCAGTACGGTCCACATGATGGCGGGCATGTGCGACCTGAGGGTGTAGGGGAACATATGCACTAGCAGCCCCAAAACCCTTGATCACTGGACGCAGGTGCTGCTGAACAAAGTCCAGGAGGCTGAAGTGCAGAGGCGATGGGATGTGGAAGAGGGGGATCCACTTTCCCGTGCCAGCACTCCCAGCACCAGCACTGGCGCCAGCGCCAGCACCAGCCAGTCTCCTCCACACCAGCCACTGCCAATTTGGGCCATGGGCATGGCTTCAATGCTGGGGTCCAAACATACCAGACCGCAGCCTCGGTCAGGTAGTGCCGAAGCTTCAGTGGCTACTTATCTCGCTGAGGATGTGGACCCATTGGAATGTGACCCTTTGGCCTACTGGGCAAGCCACAGCCAGATGCGGCAGGGTCTGGAGACTGCCGGCGCGGGGAAGCCT